CTTCATACTAAAACAGGTGAGTCCCTCGTTTTATCCCGGAGTTTGCCTTTAACTATGATTACTTTTCTTGCTTACTTACTTACTTACTTACTTAATATATTGTACTATAATTACTATAAGTGAATCGGTTACAATGACCTCTGAAATACTGTTATAAATAGGAGTGAAGAAGGCATGTGCCTTTCTTATATATGAAATGAGGTGAGAAGCTTCTAACCCAGATCATTCATGGAGACTTTAGTGCCCTATCGATAAATTCTACGAAAAGAAAATCTCTAGAACCTCATTCAAGGTTTCTAATTTGTAGTAATGTATGAGCTCAAAGGGGAGGATCGGTAATAAATCTATGTTTTTATCCCACTGAAAGATGAAAGTAGAATGGGAGTGGATGCAGAAGGAAAGAAGGAATGAAAATCTTGAAAAAGGATAGGATATAAACCTTCTTGCTCAATGCTGCAGAGAAGCCCAGAAGGCAGGCACCAAGGTAAGAGATAATGTGAGCTGCTGCAAAGGTAAGAGTTCGAGTAGGAGTGCATAGCAGATGACCATAGCGCAGTGCAAAGTGATGGACCACACACCTCAATTCTGGAAAGCAACTATTTCAGTAAGGCTAAGTCTCGAATTTGCCTTTCAGGTAAAGTCAGAAATTCGCCAGGGTGAGGTCTCCTAACCTTCTGAGGCCTCGTGACCGAAGAACCCGAAACATACTAACTCCTGGTGCAACGGTGCCGTACTCAGATGACAAGAACGGAATATTAACGGTACCCTGGGGCTAAATTGCGAGGCTAAATTAGCTACAACCTCTCCTCCGACTTACCGCAGCCCCTTGCAAGTTCTCCATACACAGTGCGAATGCCACGGATTAGCATGAAACTAAGAGAAGTCAGGGTTGCAAGCTAACTTAGGAGAACGGCAAGATTGAGCTTGCAGAAGCGCTAGCATCTAGAAGAAGCTCAACGAATTTTGTAGCCAAGTGTTTGGAGTGACTGAGAGGAGCGACAAACAGAAGGGCGTGCACACGGGGAAATGAAACGCTTTCTACCTTCAAACCCGAAAAACACGAACAGCATTGAGAGGAGCAGCTTTTAGTGTTGTCTCGAAATTCTGACTGCAGCTTCTTTGGAGGATGTAGGCCCCCCATGATCTGAGTAAAGTCCCCGGGAGCGATAGCAGTGAAGATCAACATGGTCCTGATTTTCACGAATATCTCGGGGAGTCGTTTCGTTAGCAGTAACAGAAGAGCAGCTATGAAGAAAAGCCGAAGATTTGGACGTTCGTGTCGCGAAGATCAGAGTACTTTGTTGAACGAAATAGTGCAGAACGTTATCTTCACGCTTGCTTTCCAATCGCGAACATGGCTTCCAACCACAGTTGGCGTCGAGTGTCGGAATTCACTATGAGATTCTCGCTTGGAGGAACATAATGGGCCGACAACACAATCATGTTGAATGCACATTACTGAGTAGCCTATACAGGATTCAAACTTGAACTGTTGTACATCACAAGTCTTTCTTCCGATGCCGTCTAATGAATGCCGCATCTAACAAGCGACGAAACAAGAGCTCGTACAATACCATCTCACTATTCCTTGTTTGGAAAAGTGGAAGCAATCCTATTTGAACCTTCTCAAAACAAGTCACCACACCTCCTTTGAACAGTCTCTAATCGGGAAACGGTTCCATCTTCACCGTCAAGAGATACTCACACAATCGAAACGATGGATAAAGGAACAGCTCTAGAAGCCATCGGAGTACCCCTGAAGCCTGGCAAGGCACCCAGATTTACGATGTTGTCATAAACTTCAGTGCGACCTAGCTTAACGTGAAAGATTGTAAAATAGCACCTGCATAGGAGAATTCGATTCCGAGCATCCCGTTGCGACTTAGAGATGGCCGTAGAAAGGGGATTACGGGAAGGAGGGTATGGGAACAACCTAGACTTCATGAGCTCAAGCTTTTTAGATAGAACACTTCGATGGCAATGGGGGGGGGTATCATTACTAGCACATGCTTGTTTGTCGCGCAGGTTCCCTTCATTTGCTCTGGAGCAATTTATGAGCTTGGCGGTGTTGAAAGGAATTTTTCTAGGAGATCTTATTTAAAATATTGTTGAACGAGAACGTCTGGAACGAAAGTATTTGATGACAGCAATCAATTGTGAGCACTTTAGCCATTCAACCACTCCTACTCTTCATTTCTAGAGTTTCAGTGTCAATCTCAATTGCTATTATTATAATTTTGCACAAAAATATGGTATTGCGATTGTGGATAGACTCCGAAAGCGCCAATATCGGGAAGATATAAAAAATTAAACGTTTATTAATCTCCATGGTAGCTCATCGGAAATAAACGTAAATCTATGATCTATCATAGACTCGGTATCCTTCAGCGCAAAATTGGTAACACAAAAAATTAGATAGTCGCGTTGGATGAATGCACACCCTCTGCTGCGATCGTCGCACGTTTTCGTTAGATGGGGTTGCTTCTCCACAGACTGCCGTTAACTCTTATTACCTTTTTTTTGAAAAAGTCACTATAGTAAAGGGTGGAAGTGGTGTAGTGACAAGTGGCGCGCTTACCACGCGAGCGGTCCGGGGATCAAATCCTGGGTCGTGAGTCGCCCGGGCCAACCAAGCCTTCCATCCCTCCGGGGTCGGTTAATTGGTACCAGACTCTCTAGACTTGTCTGACTTAAACATCGGCTGGCCCCCGCAAGTCATTGTATAGGCCACATCGCATTCAAACGCCACTACGAATGTACAAATGGAAGTAGAATGCGTGCCGCATCCCAAAAGGGATTGATCAACGGCAAATGCTTTATCCTTTATCCACCATAGCATGGAATAGACCTTACCTTTATAATGCTTTAAAGCACATGTGATATTCACTCGTGTGATTTTTTCTGCAAACAGATCGATTTTGTTAAGAAATAGAATCATTGCAGTGCTAGAGAACCACTCGTTATTGCAGATTTGATCAAATAATTCGATCGAGTCCTTCATGCGATTCTGAAATACTTGTTCGTCAGGAGATACAGCGGTTCATCATCAAACGATACTTTTACAAATAGGAGATGGTATCGACAGGCCTTGTAAATTTCCATGCAATTGTGATGTACGATATCTAAGAGCGCAGTACGGATGTAACAATAGTATGCAACTGCGCGGTTAAAAAATCTCTGCTTCAAATGTAGAGTTATCGCTTGCCCACGAGACGGTCAATTCAATCATCGGCTAATGAGGTCACGCCGCTCACGCGGCGGGCAGCGTCGCGCGCGGCAAATGGTGCGGCGATTTTTGTATGGGCCTTGGCTTAACGGTCCTTGTCCATAAGTTGCTGGTGGGGTTAGAGAACTGATAAGATCAAAGTTCCAGACATCAGTGAGCCTAACAAGAGTCACTTCAAAAACTCCGAGATCAAGCTGTCTGAATTGTTATCAGGGAGCGATAATCTGGCTTAATACCGTGTTTCACGACTGGGAACTTCATCTAATCCTACATTCCGTCATACGCCCTGCTAGCCCCGACACTGATCGCGCTACCGGACGGTTTTCGCTAGAGTTGCTCGAAGCCTTTAGTGCACTCCATACACATCCTGCGGTTAAGTTCCACTAAGCCTTCCACGATCTTTTCAAAGTGAGCATGGTAATTGAGCTACGTATCTAACCTCGCGAGATCAATTGGTTTTTGAGGACAAAGTTCATCGTGTGCCCACTGGTCGCATGCAGAAAAGATCCAGACTTACTCCCTTTTCCCCTTTTTGATATTCATTATGTCTCCTAGGAAGAATGTACTATAGTTCTAAATCCCACCTCCACATTATGCAAGAAATTGTTCTCAAAAAGCGGGAGGCGATTTGAAAGACCTTCCTGGTTAGTCTCCTACAGCTGTCAGCAATCAGTGGGAGCCTACGAATACATAAACTTACCACAGTGTGATCTTCAGCAAGGGTTTGGTTATAGTCCGATAGAGAAGTTATGAAGAGTACGGCGTGAACGTCATCAAATACATGTATCCATTTTCGACGCTGTGCCTTCTGGCCACCAACATCAAAAACTCTTAAAAATAAAAATCCGAGCGAGTAATTTCAAGTGAGATGGGAAACTAATTCTCAATAAGCAAAATGATCCTTGTA